TCCATGAAGGCACCTATCTTAAGAATACAAAAACACTGCTTCCTTGCTTACCATATTAGTTAGGGCTGAGAAGAACCCACTCTGGTGCTCCTCTTCCTTATCTTTGTATTGCCTGAACAAAAAGGAATAAGGATAAAGCTTATGGGTTAGAAATGGAACTAGGGTTATTTTATCTAAATCCCTGAGACTGTCTTATCTGACAAGGATACAGGATGGATAAAGATTCAACATTCACAAGTCCTTTTCAGAAACTCACAAAAAGAGATGCAAAGGGTATTAAAATATTTGTAAATTGTGTAGAGTTGACGTGGGGTTGCTGAAAGACGTGAGACTGAACAATGCCTGCGCTGTTACAGAGGATACATCCAGTCTGGGCTAACGCTGAAGTAAAGGGACCAAGTGACTTCGGAAATTTTCTCCTGCACTGGCAAAACAGTAATGAACCACATGAACACACACAGCCAGTAACCACAGAACAGTTCCTTTTCAATCACCATCTGCTACAGACTAAACCAGTCAATCACCCTATGGCCAGCAGAAATCATGAGGACCATTACAGTTCATGGCCTGATCCCACCTGATCCCATGTTTCTGGAGTAAGTGAAGTCAACAGATAGGCTGGGTACCTCAGATATAAGCTAAGTTGCTTCATCTGACATTCAAATGGACTAGCAAAGCCCACATGGCCATCAGCTGTGTCTTTCATACATTAATCCTACCACACACAATGCAACACACAAAAGCAATTCTAAATTTTTTGGGAAGGTAGAAAGAAAGAGCTAAGCAAAACAGGCCATAGTCTGAGATAACTTCTGCCAGAAGGAAGGAAGCTGTGTGGGTGAGGTTTTTTGTGCTTTACTCTGTTAAATACATTTACATGATTTTCCGATCTTGCAAGTCATCTCCATACCTATAACAGCAGACCTTCAAAGGACTTAAAGCTTTTTTCTGGATACTTTGAGAATCCTACTGCACAAAGGAAAGTCTTGGGTTGTTCAGGGGAAATTGCTGTAAGTTTCCGAATTCTTCTGAGGCACTTTCTTCCTAGGAAAACTTGCACGTTTTGTGCTGTTGCTTATGAAGCAGAGGTTGGGAACATGCTACTCCTATTGCTGGCTTTCTGGCTTTTTCTTCAGAACAGTTAATGCTTTCCACCATTTGCAAGAGCATATATCCCATAATAATAATCTCTGATCTGTCACGTGGATAGTCCTGGATCCTTCTTTTTTTTTTTTTTGTTTTTTGTTTTGATCGTGTTTCAGTTAAATCAATTTTCTAACAGAGAAGTGCTCAGCAAATAATTTGTCTTTTCACTTGGGACTAAGATTTTACAGCAGGTTCATGCCGAGGTAAAATCCATTATAGTAAAAACATACAATAGGTATCTTCCCCTACAGCAAGATTTCTCCTGAAGCACATCAGCACAGCTGGTACAGATGCATTTACACTTGCAATGACAGCCAACAACTGAGCTGAAGTACCTCAAAGCATAGGACTATTTCCTGCATCTCCAGGTGCATCAGGGCTGTTAGGTGACAAATAAATGCTTTAACACAAAGAAGAGTTTGTGGAAACATAGAGCAACTATCATGCACTGAAAAACAAGAGACAATTAGGTTTTACCTGTTGTATTCTGATAAAGCCTGGGCAATTACAAGTCCCATTCCCTGGAAAAAAAGTGTTAAAAAAATATCTTTACAAGTCTCAATGGAGGAAATCAAACACTGGACACATGTAGCAGTGCTGCCCTCCCTAAGATAACCCAGCATGCTATGAAGAATCTCCCCTGAACCTGTTTGAACTATTAAGACATGCTATGATACAATAAAAATATCATCCAAAAATCAAGACACCAAAATTTGATGCTGAATCCCTAATTACTAAGTTCAACAGAGAACATTTACTCTCCTTGGACCTCTAGACAGAGCTTACTCGCTCAAGAAGCCTCAATAAAGCAGCAAGAACTTCAGAAGGAAGCTAGTGTCAGAGGAAAGACATCCAAAAGTTCAAAACAAAGGCCATAAACACTAGTAACCTTTTCACTTCTTGCAAACAGCCTCTACCATTCCACAGCAACTGATCATCCTTTCTGTCAAGCTAATTTAATTAACCGAGAGTAACTGTTCTCACCCTTTAGTTAGCATGGAGCTTGCTTTTTACTTCATGCCTAAAGAACAGCTTCTAAGTCCAGACCTCACATAGCTCATAGTGTGCTGGCACTTTCAATCCAGGCCTGGATACAAAACTTAGTCGGTGGCTACAACCCAAAATATGTTGCAGGACTCTTGACTCAGGTACAAGCTTCCACTGAGCCCTAAGAATTGATTTGTGCACTAGTAAAATCAGATGGCACAGCACTGGAAATGAGATCTCCTTTGGCACACACTACCTCGTGCCTCTTTGGCATCTGACAGCAAATAGCGTATAGATAGTTCATAAATATCATAAATATAATAGGTCAACTTTACCAAGTTCCTCGCCACCCAGCTTTTTAACCACCCCCACCATTTAACTGGTGATCACACTGTCCAAATCACGATCTGCCTAACCTATTGCAAGAGTGCAGTTAGGGCAGAATCCCACTTTACTGGTGTTTGTTACAGTAGCACTGTTCCTAGACCTTCTTTCTACCAGACACCATGTTTGCATTCATTACCCTAACACCACACACGAAAGAGCACCCCTAGCAGCGCAGAGGAATCAAGTCAAATACTCACATTGAGTGTGGCCTCATCATCTACGATGGAGAGCTTCACGATGTAGGGATTCACTGACTGCCCAGGGTGGAGGGAAGAGGGAAGAAAGAAAATTGGTTTTAAGTCCAGCCTTCAGGAAAAAACCACTATTATCTTTCCAAGTTTACCCAGCCACCTGGGAAGAATCTCTCTCCTATCCCACAAAGCAGAACACACACAAAGAAACAGGAGTCACAGCACATGCTAAGGCTGCTATGCTTGGGACACCTTCTCTTTACTGGCTCAGCCAGGCAGTCTCCTGATTTTTATTGAGAAGAGAGGGAATTTCTGCTCCTTCACTAGCTCATCTGTCAGTCTCAAAAGCAGAGCAGCTGTCCTGCAAGCCTGTTATCGGTGACACACACACTGTTATGCAGCAGGAACAAGCAGCGAAGCTGAGACTGAACATTAGCGTTCTGCTATCTCCCTTCTGCAACACCTTGCAAAGATCGCTTAAAGGAAGGGGGACCCAGGAAGGCATGACAATGTTATAGACTCATCTGCTGCTGGGTTAGAGCTCAACAGTTTCACAGGTTACACCACTGAGAGCTAGGAGTCTCTGGAGAATATAAATTCCCTGAACTTAGCTGAACAAAGCACACAGGCTCCATCTATAAAGATAAGTCCTAATAATTTAGGAAGCATTTTAGATTAGCAATGTACGTTTGTTTTTCCTACTTTATATGTGTCAGTGCAAAACTAACAAAGTTGATTTGGAACCAGGACAGAGAAGGAAAGGGTTTATCTAGTCCAAAGTGGATGGCAAGAATAAAACACAAAGCATGCACCAGATGCAGCCCCTACAAGCTATGCAGTTATCAGACTGATTTGCCAACGGCTTGACAGCAAGTTAAAAATAAGGCTGATCAGAAAACAGCCCTCTCTCAATTATTTGGTGCTTTGGAGGATCAGGATTTCTTTTTCTTTCAGTAAAGCAACTGATCAGAACAGACCAAAGCTCGGCCAGTCTGTCAGCCTGCCTCTAGCAGCACACAGCCCTGTCTGCTGTCTCAGAAGACAGAAAACACAGAGAACCCATCTGTGCAAGAAGCAAGCAAAGAAATTTCCTTGAGGCTGGAGGCACCGACTGAGTAACAATATATAGTCCTCTCCGTACAATGATGCTTCCCTTCAGAAATTGAATTTAGTTGGTATCAGTAAAGCAGAAGCAAACTTCCCAAATTCATAATTAAATGGACTAAAACCCATCCTTGTAAATATACCTCAGCTTTGCTAATTTCAGTCATTCTCTTGCTCTCCTTATACAACAAGGAGAAACCCTCCACACCACAGCTCACGCTGGCCAGCCATAAGAGAGGCCAGCCTGTGACTCATGACCAATAAAAGTGATGGGTTTTTCCAGGCAATGGGCAGCAGGGCTATGCTGGATTAGAGGCTGCAGGGTTATCCACCTTCCCAGATGTGGGGAATAAGCAAACTGGGAGATACTACATTGACCAACGCCACCAGGCTACCCCAAGACCCAGTCAATACACTCCGTCCCATCACAGAAAGGGAGAGGGAGTGGGTTCGTTGTCACCTCCAGCCTCTGAACAACTCTTCATGCTTCTGTTGCCCTTGATTCTTTAAGATGTATGCTCCATATCTCCTGCCTCCTGGCAGCAAGATGTCACCAGTGCATGGCAGATAGGGTCGTGAAGCTGGCCTACCTTGCTACAGCTCTCTGGTCTTTATCTTTTCACTTGTTCATTTCCACAGCTGCAGAAATCTGTTTGATAATTCCTGTCTGAAGTATTCCATTTCTCTGACACATTCCATGCCTCCTCTAGGCTTCCCTAACTCCTTAAGCAGCAGGCAGATGACTAACCCATGCAATCCACACAGCCATATCACTCTGTATGGAACAAGGGAGTTCCTTAGTGCACTTCAGCGTGCAAGTCTGTACCAATGTGATGAGAGTATTTCCTGTGCTGCCCACAGGGCATGCAGTTTGCTCCTGCCTCTCCTTGAGAGCCAACAGTTCCAGTTATTGTCTATGAGCACTACTCTGCACATCTATGACGAACGTCAGCAACCTGCAAGTTGTACGAGCACACCTAAGCCCGCTCTAGACTCCCTGCCTGCTTCCCTATTCTAATCCTGCTGTTTCAGAGTTCAGTTCCCCTCTCACTGGGAATCAAGCAAAAGTTTTTAAAGTCTAAATTATGCCTGCCACTCCACAACGTGCAGAAACACGCAACAGCCTTGAAAAGTGGCTGACAAGCATTTTGAAAACTTCAAAGTGTATCAATGAAGCAGTTATACAAACTTAGAAATAGCTTCTGCCTCCAGAAAGAACTCAAAAATAGGATTCTCGGCTCTTCAGAGAACACAGGTCTTCCTATCACTGCCATCAGATAACAAACACTATAGCATTACAGTCTTCTTGTCGGTGATGAGGTACAGACCAAACTCCTGGAACCTGGGAACACTAAGCCTCTGAGTTCATGTCCTCCATGAACTAACCACCATTAGATGCCAACAATCTCATAGAAATGAAGGTGGAAGCTGTGGGGAGATCATTAGTAGGTAATTTTTAAAGCAATCCCCAGGTGAGACAGACCATACAAAGGTAAGTATTATGTGAAGAAGCACACAGGTCTGGCTGAGGGAGTGAGATGCCCCATGTCCCCAAAGGTACTTCCGCCTCCAACACAAATCTACAGGAAACAATTTTTTGGTAGGGGAAAAAAAAAAAAGGCAGAAAAAACCCAAAGCTAATCTCTAGTTAGGTGCTTAACTTCTCATCTGTAAAACAAACAAAGGCCAGAGTCCACTCGATTACCTCTCACAAGACTTTTCCCTGAACACTCATTAGGGATGATTCAGCAGCTTTGCTGTCAGCCCTGATGAGGCCATCTCCTCTGCAGGCAGGCCATCTTGCAGGAAATTGCAGCTTGAATAATTACTCTTTTTGTTAAAGAGATTAATTTAAAATAATTTGAGCTGTGCAAGACCTTTTTTTAAAAAAAAAAAAATATTCTGACTCTTCAATGTCAGTAAGTGTTTCTTCAGCACCTGTAGCTGACTACATCAAGAAGAGGCAAGTGCACGTAACCAGATATGAAGGGCTGTCAGATACACTATATGCTGCCAGACAAGCACACAAAGGGAAAAACCCACGTTTTGACTAATTTCTTTCAGCTCTGCCTACCAAGAGACAGAATATGCAATTCTAGCCTGTTGAACATGAGGCAAAGAAATGTCCACCTAGATGATATCAAGGAATCTAACTAGTTAAAAGTCACTACCTGATTTTATGTTTTAACTTGCTATTCTAGCAGCCAACCCTTAAAACACTCAGAAAGTGATCAAATAAATACTCTTCCTCACAGCATTTTCTCTGTTTGGCAGCCTTTTGGGTACACTGAGCTTCACTGTTTTCCTGATACAGTCAATTATTTAGTTACTCTCTCACATAGTATCAAGGTAAAAACATTTTCTCTGAAATCAGGACTAGGATGAAAAAAAACCCAACATAAAATATAGCTGAAGACTTGAATAAATATATACTTGGAATAACTTTAGAAAGTTATTATGTTTCAGAGCAGGGACATCCCTTTAAAGGTTCCATGTAAAGACATGTAAATCATTTTTACTCCTAGAACAGAAGTCAATGAGCAAGCCAAGATCTCAGCTGTACTGGTAATGAAAACATGGACAGATACTCCCCAGGGAATTCGAGAAAAGACTACAAAATTCACATCCCAAAAATATGACAGAACATCTTCATACAAAACACACCGGTATTCACAGTAAACACAGACACAAAATTACAGTCAACTAATGAATTTTCAGCCTACTTAGATTTTCTTAAGCAGCTGGAAACACAATTTAGCAACCAATGAAGTTTAGAACAAGAGGGAACCTATCAACTGCAGCACAGTTAACTAAAGAGAGAACTCCAAAGGATTAGAGGCATGAAAGTATGCTACAATACACCGACAACCACGCAACCATCAAACTGACATTAACGGCCAAAGAGCAGCAAACGAAGGCAGCTACCCTACTTAAGGGTGAAGATTATGACTGCATTACTACAGGCTCACAAAGGGCAGTGTCAGGCAGCCGTCACACAAAACCTTTCTTCAAGTTGCTTTCAACCTTGCCACATGAACTACTCGAGCTGAAATTCCCCTTGCTCCACATCTGCCTCAGGCTGGATTGTACTTTTTAAACATCAGCACAATTTCTTTTGGGTGCCCAGTTTGAAGATGTCTAGAACAGTGTTTTCCAAAGCACTGGACCCGAACTCAGTACTCTACAGAAAACTACTGCAAAGAGGACAGGACAAGTCTTATGCACTCGCAGCACTCTACCTACCTAAGGACATAAACTATAGTCCACAGGGATCCATAGCCCAGGGATGGGACTACACAGCCCTCCACCTTTTGACCTGAATGTTGCAATGAGACCTCTGGTCTTTCCAGTCTGCCCTCACCAGTAACCCGACCCATATCATTCCCAACAGTTCTCCCTCATGGCCACATACCGAAACCAAACACCATGCTCCTGTGCCGTGCTACCACAGCACAGATTGCTGAACAGAATCTGTAATTCGTGACTCTGCCAACATTCACAGGAATGAGAAATTAACAGGAACTACTTTGACGCCAAGTGTAGCTCCTGTCTTTGACTATTCTCTAGGTCTCTTCATAATTCAAAATGAGATCCATTATTAAACCAGGTAGATTTTGGAGCCTGCCCCCTCCCAGTAATTCTGTTGAGGAGGGTGTACTCCAGCACTTCCTCATTTTTTGACAATCTAAGTATATTAAGATATTCCTAATTATGGAAAAAAATAAGATTGATCACTAAAGCATCACACCTCGTGCAAAGAAAAGCCAACATTACGTGGTTTTTTGCCATTTGAAATGTTTCTTTTTCAAGGTGATGAATAACAGGAAAAAGTGGGAATACACTGCAAAGTAGCACAATCAATTTAGAAAAAGGAAGATGAATACAGTTTGTGAGAGAGGAATCAGTCAGAGAGACAGAGACAGGCTTCTCTTGGAAAATACTAGCTGTGATGTTTCAGTTCATTCTTTGGTCACAGCTTCACCATCTCTTCTGGGGATCTGTGCTCTTTCAGTCTGCTAGTCAGGTTCTGAATCACAAATTCAGTCTGAAGCCCAAGATGACTAGCAGCTCATTTTACTTTGGAGATTATGTATAACCGCACAGTCACATACACAGAGGCAAACACACAAGTTCGGCACGACAGTAACTTTTCCAGAAAGACCTTCCTCAGAATACTTTCATGAAGGAAATGCAAATCCCCTAGGTAGCTTCTTTCATGCTTGAACAAAATGAGCCGTATGAATATCATCCACATTTGATTATACACATACATCAGAGACATACAGTTAGCATAGTATGACTGCAAAACTCCTGTATGTCTCTGCTGATACCCTGATAAATGTTATAGTAGGTACCGTTAAAAACTGTACTGTAGGCTGCCTTAATAATCCAGAGGACAGTGTAAACGAATTAAGTAGAAAGGCCAGATGTTTCTGTTATCCAGAAGAATACCTACCTCATATTTTCTGTAGTTGACCAGCAAGGCGAGAAGGACAACAGCATCATAGCCGTGTTCCCTGCGACTAAGTGGGCTGGACAGGATCTGGAATAAATAAATCGCACTGTTCTGTTCAGGCCTGCTTCAGGAAGCTTGCAGTGGCTCTCAGATAGTGCAGGACCATGAAATGTATGCATAAGAGCAAATTATGTCCTAACTGAAAGAGGATATTTAAGGTTGAGGGAGTGTCCAAGAAGTTCTGCACACAGGGAAGCTTACTTATCACAGAGAGCATGCACATAGGCTTTCTGGGCACAGAAGGCAAGTACATTTCTCAACAGCACTGGACAGCACCTCAGTGCATCACCAACATTATCTGTGCGAGTCTTCTGGGTTTCCCCAAGCCCAGTTACCCTTCTAAAAAGTATAATTTAACAAAAAGTAGAAAAAAACCCTCAATATATCCAGACTGCCTTTTGAAAAACGTTTCTCTGATACAGGAATTCTCTGTGAAATTAGCCCAGAAATCTGCTCAGCTTCTATCTACGCACAAATGTCTCAAGTGAAAATACTTTAAATACTCAGTAGTGACTAAAAACAGCAGACTAGAGTAACGAACAGACAGCATTTTAAAAAAAAATTTAAAAAAAAAAAATCTATGACTGAGCTATGAATGGAAGCAACATACAGTGCCAGTCAGCTAGGCTGCACTGAAAAAGCTGAAAAGCAAATATATCACTGAAAGCTCTCACCACGGAAGAAGAGTCCCTGCAGTAGAAGGAAGAACCTTACCTGTAAAATAGCTTCAAATATGCTGTTAATCATCACATACTCCAGGATGGTGTTCTGGCTAATGTTATCTGTCACCTGAGTACAAACACAAGTTTTAAAATCTCACCCAAAGACTCCCATGATGCTGTAGCTGCCTCTGGTACCCACTGGGAACAGAAGAGTTCTACTACCAGATGGACACATTTATCCAGAATCTCACACTTCGTCAGCAAGACAAGGTGTGACTAGCAGTAGAGCTAGACATGAAGTAAAAGAAATCTGTCCTGCCTCCCACCCCTCACTCTGGCAAGAGGTATGACCCACATACTAAGAGCTCCCCCTTTCCTCTACAGATTGGTGTTTTACACAGCTGCATGACAACAGCCCTCAGCAGCTGACACAGGCTGCTACACAGGAGGCAGAGAAAAAAATAAACAGGGCACATATGCTCCACTAAGCACTTTCCCATCATGATCAGGGCCGTGAAGACCTCCCCCACACTCAATTATCTCTTATCACAGCCAAAATAGTTCACAGTTGACCATCCCCAAGAGATGATGAGTGGCCATTTGTTCTAACTTCCTCATTCTTCACATCCTCATCACTCTTGTCTACTCCACGCTTGCTGTCTTTCCTCAACCCCTCTCATCTGCTCCCTTTCCATTGTTCTGAGATTTCTCAAACATCTTTCTCCCTAAAAAAACCCTGTGAATCCAACTGACACTTCCTCCTTTTGCCCCAGTTGGTACCTATCATATGAGGTGAAAACAGTCTGCTCATCTGTATTGGTTTTTTGCTTACAGCAATGATGCACGTTCTGGGCTGACCCTTGTTCTCATTCACAATTTCCTTCCCCTTCTTAAGCTTCACACTGCAGCGTTCTGCTCAAGTTTTGAGACAGTCCCAGCAGTCAAGATGCGGATCATATAAACCTTTAAGTTATTGTACAGCTAGTATGTATTTACCGTCACCAAGCAGAGAAGTAGCTTCAGACACAAGCTTTTGAGGCTTTCAGAACCTTCGGCACAGAGGAGCGAGTCCAAGCTTTCCATCAGATTCTAAAGAACAACCACATTATTTAAAAGTAATATTTAAAATTATTTGAAATGTTTGTTAATAAAAGCTTTTGGGGAGATTCAAATATAAGAGCATCAATATAAAACCATGTTATTCCAGAATCAATAACTGAGCCATTACTACTGTTACACAGACCATATTCACAGTATTGATTCTCAACATTGTTTTGTCTTAACTTCATTTTAATGACTACAGGCATAACATCATGATAATTCTTCAAGAATTTTCTTGGAAAAGCCCAGAGGAGGGCCACAAAGATGATCAGGAGGCTGGAGGACCTCCCCTATGAGGACTGGCTGGGAGATTTGGGGTTGTTCAGCCTGGAGAAGAGAAGGCTCCAGGGAGACCTTAGAGCGGCCTTCCAGTACTTCAAGGGGCCTACAGGGAAGGTGGGGAGGGACTCTTTTATCAGGGAGTGTGGTGATAGGACAAGGGGTGACGGTTTCAAACTGAAAGAAGGGAGATTAAGATTAGATATTGGGAAGAAATTCTTTACTGTGAAGGTGGTGAGACACTGCAAGAGGTCGCCCAGAGAAGCTGTGGCTGCCCCCTCGCTGGAAGCCTTCAAGGTTGGACGGGGCTTTGAGCAACCTGGTCTAGTGGAAGGTGTCCCTGCACATGGCAGGGGGTTGGAACTAAATGATCTTTAAGGTGCCTTCCAACCCAAACCATTCCACGATTCTGTGATTCTCGAGATTCATGAGAGATTTTTGTATACATGTAACAATAGATCCTATTCACAAAGTAATTCTGAGCTCTACAAATCACAGAATGGTGGAGGTTGGAGGGGACCTCTGGTGATCATCTAGTCCAACCCCCCTGCTAAAGCAGGTTCACCTACAGCAGGTTGCACACGATCACATCCAGGCAGGTTTTTAACATCTCCAGAGCAGAAGACCCCAGGACCTCTCTGGGAAGCCTGCTCCAGTGCTCCTGTTACCCTCAGCTCTTCTTCATGTTTGGGTGGAACTTCCTGTGCTCCAGTTTATGCCTGTTGCCTCTTGAATACAATCTTCCTTTTTGTTTGCAATACAGTAACAGCACTGATTTCTTTTTTCAATATTCCATTTTACTTATGGGCACCGTGAGACTTTTTTGTAATCAGCACACCTCCAATTTAATAGTACATATTCTAGTTATGATTAAAAAAAGATACTATATAGCTATTTGACAGATATCCATAAATAATTGTTTTCCAAATACTAAGTTACAGGTAATACAGTTATTCTTAAAGGAAAAATGTAGTTCTGATAGGCAAGTTACTAAATATTTTCCCCAAATGTACTACTATTTGTAAGAGATGAAAAATTACTACTTTTTGTAAAGAGTTGAAAGATAAAACTGGAATTCAGCTTCATCACTGAGTACTTTGTCATTTCTCAAAACTCAGAGCATCAAAGAAGTTTAAAACGGTACATGTGCTGATGGAAACGTGAGACCACAGGAACTGACTACCAGCTAAAAATTAAGCACAAGGTATGAGGTTCAATAATTAGGTACTACTAGCCTGCAATAGCCTTTTCTGGTCTTAAGATTTCTTAGTCGTAGTGACTGCACAGCATGGAACTAAAGGAAAAGAAAGTACTCTGCTATAGTACTAACAGACACAGCGACCCCTGCCTGGTGTTTGTGTGCCACTAGCAGGTAAACAATTTCAGGACCGCTGTTTTTAATAAGTGGATGGGAAACTTCCCCCAAAAGCTGCACCTTGGTAGTCACACCTGTCTACAAATCACTGTCCCTGCAACATGGCTGCTGTGCAAACTGCTTCTCTACATTGCCAGGGCCTCACCTTCATACATAGTTCTGCCTTATCAAAACCCACAAGCATGTTGATGATGTCGAACCCAGAAGTGGATTTGTTCTTCTGATGGACACCCCGAATCAATGCACACAAAGTCTGCAAAGGGAAAAATCAGAGGGTAAGATGTAAGGCAACACCTACAACTCACCAGCAAGACCCGCCCTACCCTCACCTAGCACTGGCCAAGCACAGATATATATTCCACCTGGAAGCCATACATTTTGTGTGACCTCTCCTCCACCTCTGTTGTTTCTAAGGAGGATCTTGGACGCTGAAAACTCAACCAAAAAAAAAAAAATTACAGAAGAATGTATTTATCCATATTTTTTCTGTTTGTTCACCCCTTCATTTCATTGCACTCTGAGGACAGGTAATCTTACTACTACTTCTGTCCAGACGCAGTTTGTACCAGACAGCAACACAATCCTTGGAAAATAGCTAAGTATGGCTTTAAGGCCAAAATATTGACCAGGAAACTGCAAGGCAGAAGCAGTGTCTAATATATGGACAGACATGCCTTAGAGCTTTCCAGATTAATTTCTTATTTCAAGCATGCCTAAACATACAACATCCACACAACAGAGTTTATCACATTATGCCTGTCCATACAGCAGGTCCTTTTGCTATAGAGAGCACAAATTTCTATTTGGTTACCACAATGCTCTACTAAGTCTGTTGCTTTGTCAAAATTTTAAAAATAAATAAATAAATAAATAAAGAGGAGAAAGTGTCTCCAAGGCTATTAGGCAGCTTAAGTTTTCCTAACTACTTCAGGGGCTCTAAGAACCTTCCTACTAAACATAACCTCCTCTGTGTTTCTTGTTGTAGGCACTGGATTACTGATTCATACCGAGTCCTTGGAGATCAGCGGCAACAAACTGGTATGAGCACACTATGCTTCCAGCAGTCACTCTGGAAAATTTATGGACAGTAAATGCCTCATTTGGCCCAAGAGAGGGAAATGCCTGTGGTGACTTTTGTCATCAGGCACCTTTCAGGTCTGTAAAGAGGGGAATGAGCAGGAATATAACCACTGCAGTTTTAGACTCCAGCTTAAATCCACCTGCAAGAAGTATTAGTTTCAGAAGATGTAAAGCTGGAGACAAGCAGATCCCAAGGAATCAGCAGATCTCTAGAATCATGCAAAAGCAAAAGGGTAAGGCAGACGCCCTTTTTGTTATTGTCAGAGACAGAACACTGAGCTGAGCAAACCTTTGGTCACCACAGTCATTCTCAAGAAAAGATTAAATAAGTTTTGGCTTCAGGATCACTTTCCACATGAACACAGTCTGATTAAGAGAACGCTCTCCCAACTCGAGCTCACGATGTGTTACCTGGTTCCTATTCACATTCACACACCAGGACTCTAGACTTGAGGCCTGGCCTAACTTTTGCCAAGAGCCTGAATACAAGTTTGGGAATTCAGGGCTGGGCTAGACTGTCTATGTAGCTATAACTACAGTATTTAACATTATCCTTTCAAACTACTAATAATAAACAAATAATAAAAAAGCAACATTGTATGTCAGAGGTGTAAATTTCTGTTTTAAATCAACTTTTCCCAGCTTACTGTCCAATGTCTCCAAACCTGAAATTCATATCCTATACTACCACAGCTGAGAGAAGCTGAGACAAATGCATTCACCAAACTGTAAGAATCAGCCTGTGAACTAATAACATCAAACATCAAGACTGAGGAGGGGAGTCTCCCACACAAGACACGAGACAGCATAGCTTTGGTAAGGAGCAACCTGCAGGAAAATGGCTATTAATTCTGGATGACAATTCTTCACAGCTTCCAATTAGAAATTGTCCAGCAGGGACAGTCCCCCAGTATAAATTTCACACTAACTTCTCCAGAGCTTTATTTAATTTTCAACCCACATGGAAATTCAAAAAGGAGGCTAAAATGAAGGACAACAGGAGAAAGTAGAATACAAAGCTACACAGATTACTCTTGAGACCCCAGACTGACAGCATGCAGTGTGAACAAGCCCCTCTTGTCCCTTCATTGCCATCCGCTTCATCCTGCATCACCAGATCCTCTTGAATTCTGAAACAAGCTATTGTTCTTCAAAGACTAAAGAGACTATGAATGTTTGTAACCTCCACAAGACAGTAAGTAGCAACTGCTCTGTAGACATCACTTCTCCTCAGAAGCAAAGAAATGAGCAGCAGATGTTTGATACCAGCAGCAAATATATTGCCTCATCAGAAGCAAAATAGAGCATTCCCTGTCTCTCAGTGCAGTACCTGTAATGCATTGACCACTCTGATTGGGTGCTCCTCACCCAGTGCCTGGATGCAGTGCTGAAACAAGCAGTTGATGTTATCTTTTATCTTCATTAACTCCTCCCCATCCAGAGCCTCCAGCTTGCCTTCCAGATATTCCAAGTTAACCTGTCAGGTTAAGACGCAGTTCACGCATGTTACACAACCACTGACACCTTAGAAACACAAGTCCTTGCGCTGCCAGTCCGCCATTTTGCAGGCAGAACAGCAGCAGCAAGTCAGAGGATGTTCAGTTCCTGTTACCTTCATGAGAAACAGCTCCTCCCAAAACCTAGGGTTGCATTTACTGGGGTCCTCTGTCTGAAAGGAAAAGGAACAGCCATGAGAGCAAACAAGAAGAAATCATTCAGGCAGAATTTGAAGAAAATCATTATCATGAGTAGCTCAGTGTCAGCATCATCCCACCGGATGGTCATCACAGTACAGAATTCTGTCTATACAGATTCCCAGAAACAGAAGGACAAACAGAAGCAGCTCTTAATTAGGATGCCTCTGTTTATTTTCTGGATTATTTTTTGAGAAATACTTGAAAAGCTGTGACTTCCTGTAGATCACAAACGGTCCTGGTAGACAGCAGGGCAAGGTGACATTAAGGAAGAGAGCAGAATACAGAGCTCTGCATGACAGTGTGAGAGCCTGAAGCGTGTGCCTACACTGTGCAGCCCTTACCTTGGGAAAAGAATCCACCAGGCAGAGCCTTCAGCACAAACTAAACCATGAAAATCTAACACAATACTTTAGAAAAAAAGAGCTGCTCAAGTCCTTACCGTGAAAATCTCATCATACATCAGCACAACTTTCTCCTTCAAAGGCTTCTTGGAGGCTGAAGATTTCCGGAGCAGCCCACCTTTCTTCTCTGTTTGCGCCATGCTGTATACCCTGAAGGTAAGAATAGACAAAAAAGGCTAAGGAAACTTCAACTTTTCTTCAAGGCACATCAGGCCTGCCTCAACTATGGAAGACTTTTTCACTGCACTGAAACACTAATAGTCTCTCACAAGCTGACAGTAGGGGTTTTAATAACTATACCAGAAAACAAATCAGATCAAAGGTCCCATCTAATCCTATATCCCATTTCAAAGAAAGATGGAAAAGTCCAGATACAGGCAGATACAGAATAAGCTCCTTATGGATAAATTTTCTTAATTCTTCTCTGCTAGAAATGGACTCATGATCCAGACCGACACAGTTTACATCTAGAAAAGAATGTACTTTTAATCTCACTGAGTGAACTGTGATACGCATTATCAAATGGATACCCAGTCCTTTTTGACGCTGGTCAAGCCTCAAGGACATCTTGTGACAAAAAGCTCCCGAAACTGTTTGAAAAAGTCTTCTCTTATCTGTTTAATTTGCTGCCTACCAAAGCACTTCAAATTCTGCTTTTGCACTCTGAGGCGGCGTCCAACCCTAGGAAATATTTGGCTGCAAAGCCTCCCTAAAGGACTCCTGCCACCCCTGTTCATCCCTACCTCTGCACCTTGGCATCCCTTAGCTGTGCCAGCTGCTCTGCAAATCAAGCCAGAGAAGAACCTCAGCTTCAAAAGCCTCACGTGTGGTTCAGTTTTGGGAGGAGGATGGAGGAACACAGGGGAGAAGCTTTGCAGTGATTTTTTTTTTTTTTTTAAACCAGATGAATTTCCTGATCTATTTGACAGCAAAGGGTGTTCTAGAAACACAAACAGGTTTTACTGTAATTATTTGGTGTCTCATGCTTACTGGTTATGTTGTGAAAAAAAAGGAAGCATCATTATTACAAAATGAGCTGTTACAAAAAGTAACGGCCACAGCCGTAGTCCTGAGCCTTCTGTGACAGCCAACCCATTCCAGGGGCTGAGAGTCAGAACGCATGACTTGCCATGTACTGTCAACCTCATGTCTGGTGCTACAAAGGACATCACCGCTCTGACCTTGCAAATATGTATTTATCTGCAATCACAGATGTTTTCTGGCAAGCATCTCAGCTTTAGCACTGTTCCAACCTCCTCTATCACTGCAGCACTGTCAGAGGCACTTAGCAGAAAGGGAATGCCATCCCTTCTCACACCCCTGAGCTCCCAACCTTTCTCACATACCTCCAAAGGTAATTACACACACGGCAGCAGCACACCTCAGGCAGAGGCTTGACTTAACTCATGCTCCAGAAAAATATGGGCAGGCTCTCGTGGTGGCTGTGCTCAGCCATGCTGAATAATGCATAGAGAGACAAGTTCACTGCAGTCAGCATCTAAGACCCCAGAGCTTTTTGACCTGGCAGCCATGGAGACAGCTTTGGATTTAGCCTCCATCCCAGACTGTCTGAACCCCTTCCACAAGCACAGCACATTTAGATCTGTCCCTCAAAGAGCAAGTTCCAGCAACTAGTGAATACCAGTTCCAGATCTCTTCTACATTCCTTCCACTGCAGACAGCTTTTGATTGTCTTTGACTGCAACTATATGGTCAACTAGGACTCTCAGGCTCCCAGAGTCAGTTATTCAGACATCCATCCCTTGAGCTGTAAATCTCAGTTCTGAGTGGCAGAAAATCATCTTTAGGCCTGAAGAAACAATGCTGCTGCAAAAGACCCTACCCCAGGTGTGAAGGGAAGGAGTTTTGCCTGGATGGGAAAGCAGAGCGTAGGACAGAGGGCAGCAGCTCTCGCAGCTGAAAGGCTGAGATTTGTACAGAAAGGCAGAGGGGTGATCTGTCTTGCCAGTAGAAAGGGACTATGCACAGCTGGCTGGTTCAGGGCTGGTGTGTGCACTGGGGTGAGAATGGAAACAGCCCCAAGACTCATTGTCAGCAGAAAACTTAGCAACCACTGCACCATATCCTTCTGTAAGGACCAAAATTACTCCTGTAACCTAGTAGGTCTATATACCCAATTAAGATGGAAAAACGTTTCAGTCTAACAAACGAAAAAGAAAACATTATTCAATCATCTTGATAACTTCTCTTTTACAGACTTTGCATTATTTTTAAACTATCATGGGAAATAAGACATTAGTCTAATTAGAAACATAATTGGAAACAGAGAAATCTATTAAAAACCAAATCAAGAACGATGTCACTTTTAGCCTAGCAATACAAATCTTACCCAAGATTGCACAAAACAATTTCCCAACTAGAATGGTATGTTTCTGAACCTAAAGCAGCTGCCAGCCCCAGCATACAAACACATCCATCAGTGTGCTTCTAATTGAATTATGGCTAACGAATCCCAATGTCAAAACTAATAAACTCTCAGTGCTTCTAGGTCAGTGTTCTCACATCAAATGTGTATGTGAATGGGAAGGGATCAATATGCCCTGCTTAGTCCCTGGACTTTGAGAGCTGCATTTTATCACTCTTCCTACATTTCCAGAAAGACAGAAAAATCCAAATCCCACAAGACACAAAGGCTTGATGCTGGGTAAGCATCAGAGGGATCGCATGATCATGTGAAAATTCTAGTCTCTGTCAAAATGGGACTTGGGATTCATATTCTCTCAACCAAAGCTGCACAGAGCACATACAAAGACGACTGCTAGAGGCAAGGATTAAATAATATCCTTGTTTATAATTTGCTATTCTACAAATGAGCATATGGAGGAGCAAGGGGAGAAAAGTAAAAGCCGCTTTTCATGCCAATGCTTTATTAGGCTGTGCTTGTTTCATGACCTATGATGATCAGGCTGTACAAATGGCTTTTTCTTTTCACTTTATGCAATTACATTTTCTAGATGTCAAAGACAGAAACAGGAAACTGCATTTTGCTAATGGGGACCTTCTAGGCAGCTGCAGAAAACAACAGTTAAACGCACAAAACATAAGTAAGTTGTAGAGGTGTCAAATTATCAGGACGCCACAACAGCTTATGAGAATAACAACAGCGAATATAGTTAATAATTATCCTTTAAATGCATCACATTTGGAAAGCATCAGAGCATCTTCCATATTTTAGGTTCAAATGGATAATTTATTCTGTCAATAGGTCAGTCCCATTAACACATGCCACTAAGCAAAGCCCGCTGTAGTCACTGACTGCACAGGAGAACTACCCCTCAGGGCCAACAGAAGCACACGCATGTGGATCTTTGGAACAGCCAGTACTTTGCTGTGCAGCAGAAGATCCGAGATGCTTCAGCTGGAACTAAAAGAAACCTCGACAAGTCTTGGCAGCTCAGAGGCAGGAAGATAAAAGCCATGGCAGAGAGAAGTTCAGACAGGCTCTTGCTTTATCTATCATCAGCCCCATGATCTGCTGATCCAGTCAGGAAGAAAGGGACGAGCACAACCAACCATCCACCTCCTTTATATTTCATTCCAGAACTCATAGCAGAGATTCCCACCAAACATGTGACATTCTGACGAACACATCTCCGTTTGCTTTTCATTAGAATATCCACAGGAAAAATGAACCTGGCATTTTGAGTCTGAGGTTTACTCAGACTTGTGCACATCGAAAACTGTGGCTGCTCCACATTGTTACTCAGCTCCTGCATGGACTTATTATTATTATTCCATAGATCATCTTATAATAGCAAAAATACTACTGTAGAGATAATAACACTAACGCCCACCTACACTATAACGACATCAGGATCCAAAACTTGTAACTTCTGTAATCCTGCATGCATCCCATCAAGCACTGCATTTTGCATTTAATTGCCTCAGCTAACAAACCCAAAAGTTTTCAAGATTACAGAGACATATACACAAGCCCCACATAAACCAAACATGAATACGTGTATTTTTTTTCCAGTGTGGACCACTCACAAATATGCTGTAACACTTCTTGGCTAAATAAAAAGAAAACAAACAGATGACATAAAATGGTATTTTCACATATTGACTGCCTTGGCAACCCATTTACTCCCTATCTGAAAAAGGTGGCGCAAATGGTGTGATCTATACTAGTTGTTAATGCCAAAGCCCCGGACCTCAATCAACATTTATAAAGACTCTGAACGAAAACTGAGATACTTTTGCTTTTACAATCCAGTATCCCTCGACTTGCCACTGCTACTAAGACTGGACTCACTTGTTTAAATATTTCAAGGCTAGTAATTGCCCCCACCACCAATTGCATGCACATGGGACCCAGTGTGATCACGCTTTGCCTTTCAAGATACTTTGTAGGTATATTACTGCAGCCTAAAGGGAAGTTGTTCAAAAATTATCTCCATCATGCAAGAGAGGGATAAACTCCTGCCTAAAAGTTAACCTATAGCTTTTAAAGCAACACGTTAGAAGCCAAGCAGTCATTAAACTCTTCTGTGAAGTTCCAGGAAAGGCTTGCACTAAATCCATGTGATGAATCTGCAGAGTCAATATCGGACCTGAGCAACAGGCAGCTGAAACACGTGCCAGCATTCCTCCATCACTGGAAGCAACAGACAATCTGCACCCAGCACAAGAGTTTATGAATCCCAACACACAGGCAGTGCCTTGACCCAGTTCAAGCTCCAGTATTAAAACCCGCAGGACCACTCAGCAGCAGCCTGGCAGACCACTAGTGAAAACAGAGAGGAGGAACAGGGTGGGCTAGATTTTGTCAAGGCTTTAGCAACCATCATGACCAAATTCCTGCCATAAGCCCTTTTGCAGCTTATTGTCCGCCAACTCTTGCGTTGGCGGTTACGGTTTGTGCTAGCACATCCACACTGCTTTTATATTTCATCCATTCTTCACAACCTTATCTCTATATTGTCCATTGGAACAAAAACTGCTCAGACAGTACCTTCCTTTACAACTGTAAGGTGCCCGACCCACCAACAAAGGAAATGGTTACACCAACAGCACACAAGCCCTGGATCCACCTGGCAGAATTTCCAGGTGCCTTCATGCAGTACATAATGAGAAATATATTCTGAGGGTGTGCTGATGACAAAAACCCACATAGATCCTACTT